AGGAAGATTCCCACACCTGTGGGTGCAAGTTGAAGGTTGAATGCAGGTAAGAAAGCATGTAGGATGGATTGGAGCAGGAAAAAGGCGGGAAGATGGTTGCAGTGATCCGGGTGTGAGGCAACCCCTGGACTTGGAAAGGATTGAGAGATGACAGGGGAGGTCTGGCAAGATGGACTACAGACTGGATGGCAGCACAGGAGGGATGGGGGCTTTGAGGAGAGAAGGGTGGCAAAGAGAAGTTGATGGTGTGACATTTGTCCAGGTCAGGAGGTCGATGGATTTCCTTTGGGGCATGTTGAGGGTCTGGAGAATAGCCAAGTGAAGTGGGCATCTAACAGGCTAGAGCAGAGGTTCTCAGACTCATATCTGCCTTTGTGTCGTTCGTAAGTGACACAAAACCTTCACTCACCAGGGATGCTCAAAAGGAGAGGGAGGCTTGTCAGCATCTCCTGTGAGGGTGTTTGCGGTTGTGCATGTGTGTGGAAAGGAGAGGGGAACTCTCCCCTGGAGATAAATATATGCCTACAGGGAGGCACTGACTCCCATCTTCCCACTTTGGTTTTCACTGGCCTTGACTGGAGTGGAAGACAGATAGTCATGAAATCATCCAGTCAAACCACATTTATTTCCCTCTTCCACTTCTGGGTGCGGAGGATTAGACATTATCTCTGACCAAAACACTTTCTCATCTCTCATCGCATAGTTTATGGTCGGTTTGGGGAGATTATATCTACTCACCCGAGGTAGTTATGGTAAGAGCCCCAAATAGGTATAGTTTATTCATATTTTTAAAGTTCACAGGGTGGTTGTGTATCTCATGAGCTGGAGTGGGGGGAAGCCTCATTAATGGGGGGCTTCCCGGGAGGGGGGCCGGGTCTCAACTGGGCCTTGGAGGAGAAGCTGTCGTGAGCTCCCCAAAGATTTTGACACAAATGAACACAAGACATTTTAAGTTAATGAACAGATGAACGCAGGACGGGACAGTGAGGCTGCTGGGTGGGAGCTAGACCACAGGGTCGCTCTGCTGTCCGCCCCTCCGCCCCCAAGCTGCGGCCCCAGCACAGGAAGTCACACTTAAAAGCCTCCCTAGGCGGAAGTTATGGGGGAGCTGGAGGGGTGCTGGGCCACCCCTTCAACTGTCTCTCCACAGGCACCCCGGCTTCCTGCGCTTCCCCTGCTCCAGGCCACAGGCACTCAGGCTGCCTGGGGTCTGGGCGCTCAGAGTACACCTCCTATTTCTGCTGTTTTGCTGCAAGATGCAGCGGCTAAGCACTGGAGCCAGCCAGTGCCAAGGAATGGTGCCTGCTGGCTCCTGGGGTCGGAGTGGGCTGGCTCAGGGGGCTGTTGGGGACTGGGGGGGACCCGGGGAAATGGTGCTGCTTGTCTTACATCCCGTCTTGCTCGCTTCCTCCCGGAACTGGGTGCTCAGGGCTCTGGAGTTTTGCCTGTGCTGCCAGTGGGCTTGTGGGAGGGGCATGTGGAGCCTCAGAACTGGCCTCATTTCCTAAGGATTGTTTGAGGACCCCAGGGAGGTGCCCAAGCCCAAACCCAGCTGGCCAGAACCAGTCAGGCTGTGGGAAGGCAGTGAACCCGGGTGGGAGGGCAGCCTTGGTTTGCTCCCTTCTGGAACTGGGAAGTGTGTGGGGGGCGGGGGGCTCACGTGAGAAGCCAGGGAAAGGCCAAACCCGCAGAGAGACTGGCTGAACCCGGAGGAGAAGCCTGGGCGGGGCTGGGTCTGAAGGAAGGATGCTGAGGGGTGGGAAGGAGCTGAGTGGCCCTCAGGGAGGGGCGGGTAGTGACCTGATGGGAGGAAGCAGGGGCTCGGCCGAGACTTCCCTTTGGGATGGAATGGGATAGGGAACCATTTCCCGAAAAAGTGGGCCAAGGGGGACTGAGGCCCATTGCCTGGCTCCTGGGAGTCGGAGGGGAGGAAAGGGGCTTCTGAGTGGGGATTGGAGGGAGAGACTGGCCCACAGGAGGAAGGGATGGGATGGGGTCCCAATTGCGGGCTGGTTCCTTCAGCCTTTCTGCTGACTCATGACCCTTGAGGAGCTGGGGAAGCTGCTGGTTCCCTCTCCCTCCCCTAGATTCCCTCCCTCCCTCTGGCCTGAGTCACCGGACAGAGCTTCTGGGAAAAGATTTCCCTTTCCCGGATCTGACTTAACCCCCAAAGTGCTGGAGATCCCGGTGCGAGGCACGTGGCCTGAGAAGGTGCCTCTCCCTCCTTCCTGGGAAGGACCCCCACCCCCACCCCAACCCGCCGCCGTTCTTTTTCCTGATGCTGTCTCTGCCGGTTGGCTCTGCTCCCGGCCTCCTGGATGGAATTCCAAGTGCCAGTGACCTTAGGTGCTGTGAGCCCTTCTTCGGGGAAAGGAACCACACTTTAAGGACTGGGAAGTCCTTCCCATAAACACTCCAGACTTTTCCTGTTGCTCTGGAAGCCTCAGCCCTGTTCTCAGGGGAGGTGGCACAGTGCTGGAGTGACCAGGAAAGGGTGCTGCCTCTGGGTGGGGAGGGCGCCTTACGCCCCTGGGGGTTGGCAGCTGGGTTTCTGAGTGTGGCTTCCCCTGTGTGGGGCTGGGGCGGGGGCTTGGGCTTCCGGGCCGCTGCAGCGACACCTAGCGGGGAACTGGGGTGTGACCTGCGTACAGCCTTGGGCTACCAGGCCCTCCTGTCCTGGGCTGGGGTTTCTGGGATCTGATTAGCCTGTTGCTCCCAAAGTTTAACAGCCTTGGAGGACATCCTCTTATCGTCATATAAGGCGGCCTTTATAGCAGAGAAAACAAAATCAAGGCCCAGGGAAAGCCAGGAAGAGGCTGGTAGGAGGTGAAACAGCAAAGTCTGGGTTGGAGCTCAACACAGCCTCCTGGCTGTGCCGTCCCAGCTCTGAAGCCAGGGCTGGGCGAGTGATTCCGGGGCGGGGGGCCCGGCCTGGGGCCGGAAAACAGGCTCCCGGGACACCCCGATGTGCAGAGGGCAGAGGGACTCCCTGGCACGCCCTCAGCTCCTGGCTCGGTGGTCTTTGAGCCAGACCCCCAGCCTCCAGCCGGCTCCGATTACATGTAACCTCCATGCCTGTGCCCACTCCCGCCCCACCTAAACCTCATCACCTTTCTACCCCTGACCCTGAACGTTCCCTTTTTTTCCACTCCCCATTTGCCCTGGCCAACCTGGGGTATTCGTGCAGGTTTACTGGTGGAAGGGGATGCAGCACAGAGTCTGAGGGCAGGATCCTGAGCGAGGTTTTGGTACAGATTTACAAAGAAACTCTTCCTTTGGCTTCTGCCCGCTCTCCAGGAATGGTCCCCACAGGGACATCACTCACCTCCACTCCAATCTGATGTTACAAAAGACCTTTTTAATGGCATAACATAATTCAGGAAAGTGCACAGATCCTAACTGTTCACCTCCGTGAATGTGCACAAAGTGAATACACTGTGAACGCAGCACCCAGATGGAGAAATGCCACCCCAATCTTTAGGGCTACTTGTCAGAAGGAAGGGCCTGTTCCCAACCCAAAAAACTCTTTGAACATCTGCCCTGTGTCCAGCACTAATAGCTGCTTTGGGGAAATAAGGATAAAATACAGCCCGTGCCGGAGTTTACCAGCCTTGAGTTGGAAGGACAGAAATGAATACACAGGACAACCAGAGAACAATTAGATGGCACAGTGCCGACGGCCTAGGCTTAGAGGAGAACGTGGCACGTGAGCGGGAGTGGCCTGGGGAGAATGTTCCGCTAAGAAAAGACTTGAGCTGGGAAGGCTTTAGACTCGCTCCCTCTGAGACCCCACCCCTCCCTCTCCTGATGGGGCCTTCTCCATCTGACTCTTCCCCAGGTGCTCCGGGCTCTGTTGGTGGATGTGTACCCCGCGGGGATTCATGGGCTGGTCCCTCACCCCGGGGACCGGGAGAAGAGAGAGAGTTCGTGTCCCCAGGGGAAATACAGCCACCCTCAAAATAATTCCATTTGCTGCACAAAGTGCCACAAAGGTAGGAGAAAGGGATAACCGTGGAACTCCTCAGTTAGGGGGGTCCTGCTTCTTCCTTTGCTTTTTCCAGATGTTCCAGAACGCGGGGTCCCTGACTTGGCTGCCTCTCCAGGGCTGGGAGTTTCTCCCTCCTTTCCTCTCCCAGGGACTTCGGGGAGGTGCCCGGGCTGTCCTGGGGCTGGGGCTCCGGGCTGCAGCTTAACGCCGACCCCCCAATCACAGGTACCTACCTGTACAATGACTGTCCGGGCCCGGGGCTGGACACGGACTGCAGGGTGTGTGCCCGCGGCACCTTTACCGCTTCAGAGAACCACCTCAGACAATGTCTGAGCTGCTCCAAGTGCCGGAAAGGTGAGTCTCAGAAGGGGGCGGGGCCCTAAACTGACTGGGTCAGGTGGGTGTTCAGAGGGGTGTGCGCGTCTTGTCTCCAGGGGAAGGTACAAAGCTGCGCTGCTGCGGGTGGGCAGGGATGCGTGTGCACAAGTGAACGAATGCATGGGTGTGAGCGTGCGTTACCCAGAGAGACACACCCGGTGGGGACAGTGGGAGCTCATACCCCATCTCCTCCCCGCACCAGAAATGTTCCAGGTGGAGGTTGCTTCTTGCGCGGTGGACCAGGACACCGTGTGTGGCTGCAGGAAGAACCAGTATCGGAAGTATTGGAGCGAAACTCTGTTCCAGTGTCTGAACTGCAGCCTCTGCCCCAACGGCACGGTGCACCACTCCTGTGAGCACGGCCCTCCCGACCCAGCTGGTCACCCCGTCTCCGGAGGGCGGTCTCCAGCTTGCTGTACCCCTGCCCCCCCGGTTCTCCCTCTGGCCCTCGGGGTGCTGGGCCATCCTCCTTCAGCTGTGCCGCATCTCTCCCTACAGGCAAGGAGAGACAGGACACCATCTGCCACTGCCACGTGGGGTTCTTTCTAAGAGATGCTGAGTGTGTCTCCTGTGCTCAGTGAGTACTTCTGCTGGCTGCTGGGCACTGGATCGGGATGGGAGGGGGAGACTGTGGGAGGTGCTCTGGCTCCTCCAGGCTGTTTGGATGGGAGACACTTCATGTCAAGATACCAGACAGTCCTCCCTGCCCCCAACTTGTTCCTAAAATCTCATGAAGTCTCTGTGGATAGAGCCGCATACCGCAAGGACTTGAAGTTCTTTTTAGACGTTCAGTTGTTTTTTGGAAGACGTTCAGATTCTTGGGCAACAGGCCCTACTATGGATTCTAGGAATACACTTTTACATCTCTGAAATCATACTGCATCTTACAACAGTTGATGGTGTATCATGGTTCAGTTGGCACCTGTGCGTGCGTGTGTGTGTGTGTGTGTGTGTGTGCGCGCGCGCGTAGGATGTAAATCGTAATGTCTCTGATTATTGATCTTAGGTTTAATGCAGTATGCACTTTCCTCCCCAGTCCCTTTGACCACACCTCCTCACTCCTTCTGGCTCTGCAGAGGCTGTTCTTGCACACTTGCTTGCAAAGAGGAAACTGAGGGTTCTAAAGTTGAATTGCCCTGGGTTTAACATCTCAGGCTGTGTGAGCTTGGGCAAGTGACTTAACATCTCTGAGCCTTAGTTGTTTTTACCTTTAAAGTAAGGATAATGACATCAGGTTGGCAAAGCTGTAAGAACCACAAAAAATAGCCACAAAATGTCTGACAAGAAACTATGTTCTTTTTCCCACTAGTCTCTTCCCCTTAAAAGCACTCCTACACCCCTTCCATGTGGTTCTCACCAGGAGCTTGTGAGGTGGGCAAAATGACCTCTCCCTGCTTTCAGATTCCTGCT